GGCTCAAAAAAAGGCACTTTACAATTTACATCAAGCCACGAAAATAATCACAAATAAGGCCAAACTATCATGCAAGAAAAGGGCCTAAAAGAGGGGTAAAGAGACAAATGGTAGCTTCTGTTCTCAAACAGAGGAGAGCCCTTCAAAAATATTGAAGAGGGGCTCAAAAAAAGATATTTCACAGTTTATGGAAAAGTCCAAAACAACTCACAAATAAGCCTAAAATGCTATGCAAAAATTGGCCTAAAAGAGAGATAAAGAGGCAAGTGATAGAAGGAGGCCTAAAATAGAGGAGAGCCCTTCAACAATGTTGAAGAGGGGCTCAAAAAAAGTTATTTTATAGTTTATGACCAAGTCCAAAACAACTCAAAAATAAGCCTAAAATACTATGCAAAAATTGGCCTAAAAGAGAGATAAAGAGGCAAGTGATAGCAGGAGGCCTCAAACAGCCGGAGGTCCTTGATTAAACATGAAAAGGAGGTTAAAATATGACTATTTATAGTTTTGGTCGGATCCCAAAAAAGCTTTCAAGTATGGCTTAGATAGCATGCAAAACAAGGCAAGAAAGAGAGAAAATAGGACTCACCCTTGTAGAACCAAGCTTTAACAACTTTTGGGCCAAGTTTGGGAGCTCTTCACCTCTGGAAAGCAGCCTCAAGTTGCTGGAATGAGGGATGGAGGCCTTGTGCTATGAGGTGTAGGGTAAATGGTGTAGAACTTAAGGGGTTTTGGTGCTTGGAGTAGAGAGAGAGAGAGATTCAATGTAAGAGCTCCAAACAAGTTTTTGTAACCCTCTCAAATGCAGCTGAGGGGCTGGTTTTATAGAGGAGTGGAGTGGAGAAAAGGGGGGAAAATGAAATTCAAATTTTCCCTCCAAAAGGCCCCCCCTCGGATACAGGATTTGGGGGGAAACAAAGGGTGCAGCTGTAAGGAACCAGGTAAGAAGGTCACGGCCGGCCAAGTTCAGAAGGTTCAGGGGGCCGGCCGGCCGACCAAGGGTCAAAAGGGTCAATGACAATTGCTGGTCCGCCACCTCAAAGGTGGCTTCTCATGTGTGCACAACACAACTATGTGGTCAAAACCCAGAAAATGTGAACCAGGAGAGAGAAAAATCCATTTTTTTAGAGGGGTTCAAAAGGGTCAGGCACAATTACTGGTCGGCCACCTCAAAAAGGTGGCCTCCCAGGTGTGTACAACACAAATATAAGGTTTAGGGTTCAAGAAAGTGGCTCCGGAGTGGTCAGCATTGGCTTTCAAGTGAGGAAAACGGGCGTCGGAGAGCGATGAAGAAATAAATATGGCTTTTCAGAATAATTGCTGGCCTCCCGCCCTCCTACAAGCTTCCTAACTATGAAAATAAGGTCTCCACCAAAAATGAACCGAAACGGATGCAAAACGGAGGTTCGGGACCGAAACGCGCGGCCCGAGGCCCCGAAAACAGGCTGTTAAGCACCGGAGGTGGCGTTCGACCACGAAGTTGGTCTTCTCGGACCCCAGTGTCCCTCAAAAGGGAGTAAATAAGGTGTGTGCCAAAAACTGGAGCAAACGGAGGTGGTTAGGCGGTCCCGAACCGAGGCACACGGCCGTCGGCTCCGAAAAATCGAAAATCGGGCTCCAAACGGGAAAAATGGCCTACGACCACGGAACGTAGCCTACGGCCACTGAGAGATGATCTACGAGACCTCTCCCTCCCTTTGGGAAGAGAAGATAGAGAAAACAAAGCCTGGTTCGCAAATCGAGGCAAGGCACAAAAGAGTCCGGAAGTCTGGAGGCAAGGCTTGCAGCCGGGACTCTGAAACTTTTGAACGAGCACAATATGCAATATCACCAAGCGCTCAATCAGTGACGTCTGAATCTTAAGGTCGGTCAAAAATGGGGTATCTACAGGTACAGTGCTCGGTGATTCGTTAGTGATATAATTGCGTGGTGTTTCAAGGGCACCGAACAATTTTCTGTGATGATGTTAACACCATTCAGCAGAATCCGGATCCTCCGTCGCACTCCCCTACAACGCTTTCCTATTGCCCTCCAAAACGACGTCGTTTTGGAGGTTTTTTTTTCTTTTTTTCTTTTCTTCTTCTTTCTTTCTTTCTTTCCAACACTGCTATGTCTCTCTCTCTCTCCCCTCATTTCAGATTGCAAATTGAATCGGAGAGAGGAGCAACAATCATCGACCTTTCTTCTTCTTCTGTCTTATTTTGACTTTCCCCTCTGGTTTCTAGGTCTCCAGATTTGCCTCTCTGCTTCATCTTTTTTTTACCTACAAACCCAAGAAACCCAGATCTTCCTCTTTGCTTCATCATCATCATCAAACCCAGAATAATTTCTCTGCTTCATCTATGTTTTTACCCACCCAAAATTTCAAACCCAAGAACTAAAATCAAAACCATCATCAAACCCAGAATAATTTCAAACCGAGATGAACAAGAAGAACCCGTTTTCTGTTCAGAATTAGTTGTGTATAGCTTCGTGGATGTAATTTTGAAAGCTGCTTGAACATTAAATGTTCAAGTGCTTTACATTGATTGTCAAGTTTTTATAATTAGGGCCTGCTAAGAAATTTAAATCTTATGCTTCTGAGCTTGAGTTCAAGAAAACGAGCAGAACATGAAAAGAAAGTCTACTTTCCTTAGTAGTTAATGCTTTCTCTCCTCCTTTAACAAAATATTTAAAAATTTGGAGCAAAAGTTCAAAAATCAATAAAAAAAAAATATAAGGCAAAAAATGGTAACCTAAAATTAAGATTGTCTCTTCATCATATTTTCTTTTGACCCCTTGTTTTTCATGGTAATCAAACATGGAAAAATGTTTTTCTTTGCATTTTCTTCCTCTTTCCTTCACAAATGGGAAGCCAAATATAGCCTCAAAGTCACAGGGCCTAAACAGAGATGGCAAAAATCCCCAAAAAATAAAAAAAAAATCAAGAAATGAAAGAATTTAAATAGAATTGAAAGAGACCCAGAAAATGGGTTTTGTGAAGAGAGAGACAGACAGACAGAGACAGAGTGTGGTGAGTTGTGGTGTTGTTGGGTATGTGATGTGTTGGTGCCTCTCTCTGTGTTGTGAAGAAGAAACGGCCTCAACAACCAAAACCCATCAGCAGAAAGAGAGAAAGAAAGAAAGAAAGAAGAAGAAGAAAAAGAAAAAAAAAAAATATATTATACCTGTAAAAAATCAAGTTGATCGGATATCAGAAAGTATGCGTTCAGAAAATTGGGACTACAAACTATTTTTTAATAAACAATTTTCCGAACACATACTTTATGATATTCGATCAATTTGATTTTTTACAGGTATGATATACTGAATAAATCTAAAAATATTAGCGGTTCGGATTATCAAAACTGGGTCTCAAAGTGGATCCGAAGACCCCTGCAAGGAGGGAATTAAGGAGGGGGCTCAAGGGGAGGATCCCAATTCTTCCAACACTGGTATGTCTCTCTCTCTCTCTCTCTCTCTCTCAGTGATCCAATCCCAAACTCCCTGGATTACTCTCTCTCCTCTTTCTCTCTCTAGAAGTTTTCTTTAAGGACATTGCAGAAATGTCAGAATCGACAGACCCTGCGATTAAGCTCTTCGGAAAGACGATTCCTTTGCCGGAGATTCCGCCGCCTCCCGCCATCGCAATCTCCAGCGGAGGAGCTCCCTCTCCCTCTCCTCCTCCTCCTATTGATGACCCTCGTTCGTCTGACTCGAACAGAGTCGAAGAAGATCAAGAACCTGATAAGGTATTATGATTGGATAGGATTGGATTGAATTGTTTTTCTTTTTTTAAAAAATAATTTTGAGGACAACCCATTGTTTGGAACAGTGAATGGAGTAAAGGGTCGAGCTTAGTTATGCTTTTTTTTTTGGGAATCCAATATTTCTAATTTGGGTTTTTGGGTATAGTTTGTGTCAATTAATTTTCAAAGATAGTGTAATTCTGGTTTGGGATTCAAATCTAGCATTTTCAGACATGTTTTTGGTAATTTAAGGTTAAGTCTTTTTTGGGTTTTCTGTTCTATTTATTCTTTTAGATCAATATGTGGGGAGTTGAGATCTTCCAAATAATTGTTTACTCTTCAGGGAGGAGATAAGGAGATGCTATTTAAGCAATATACTAGAATAAATTTAGGCTAATCTTTACTATATGTTTAAAGAGTTCTAGTTTGTATCTATGAATTTGCTGAACAAGGGATTATTGATTCCTCCAATAAAGTTAGTTTGTAATTTCATTTTCACTATCTTAATTTCAAGCCCCTTTTGCTAATTAGCTGTTGCGTGCTTCGAAGATCTTATCTATGCCGAGGAGAGGGGTGGTTTGGGTCGATGATTGTTGCTTCTCTCTCCGATTCAATTTGCAATCTGAAATGAGGAGAGAGAGAGAGATACCAGTGTTGGAAAGAAATAAAGAAAGAAAGAACGAAAGAAAGAAAGAAAGAAAAAAAACCTCCAAAACGACGTCGTTTTGGAGAGCGATAAGAAAGCGCTGTAGGAGAGTGCAACGGAGGATCCGGATTCCATTCAGCATGTGTCGGCTGATGGATACACCTATGTTAGTGGACCATTTGGATTCATCTCAGCCGTTCAACCTTTTTTTGGAGTTAAATAATACTTTTGGAAGTGTTTGATAAGATACTTATAACATAAATTTCAGGTCCCATCTTAATGGTTTTCTTTGGACAGATAACTCCATCAACAGATTTTACAAACAATAATATATTATTTTAGCTAACAACCTATATAATAAACCAGAACGAATTTTAAAAATATGTAAAATATATCAAAAATACATTTCATTTTAAGGGTTCAGATCAATTTTGATTCACATCAATGGTTGAGATGATGCTTTAATTCCCGCCCAAACACTTGGTACTCTCTCCCTCTCCCACCTACCCACGTCTCTCCCCATTCTATCTTTATCTCTCTCTCCCTTTCTGTTGCACGTCTCCTTTCATTCCCTCCTTATCTCTATCTCCTCTTTGTTCAACTTCTTTATCTCTCGCTTCCGACGCTACCTCTCTCTTTCTCTCTCACCCGATTTTTGCCTCTCCCTCTCCCTCCTCCCCCATCCCCCTTTCTCTCTTAGTGGCTTCAATTCGCAACCCTCCATTCCACTCTCTTTCTGAAGGCTAGGGTTTCTGATTAAGAACCGCGAAATCGAGTTGGCTCCTCCCACCACCACAGCTGCTGCTGCCGTCTTTTCTTTCTCCCTTTGCTTCGAACCCCGACTTGAGCTCTCCGTTACCTGTCTCCCTCTCTCTCTGTCTCTGTCTCTTTCTCTTTCTCTTTATGCTTCATGTGTTGATTGTTATTTATTTTTCATTTTTTGGGACTTAATTACCTATATCTTAATTTTATTTGCTTCAATTTAGGGCTGAGTAAGGAATCTGTGAAATCCGTAATTCGATCCGATCCAGTCCAATCCGATAGGTTTGGATTGGTTTTTTGAATCCGTGGTTCGGTTCCGGATTGAAGAATTAAAAATCCGTAGTCCACGGATTGGTTCCCGATTGAACCCCACAGTTCCATATTAGAACCAATCCGGACTGTATGTAAATAGTCTATATTTTTATTATACATCCTCCCTCATAGCATCTTCTCTTATTCTATATGAAACCTAAACTCAAATCTAAACCCGTATAATATCTTCTTTTATTACTTTTGTTCGTTAGTTTTTAGTTTTAATTTATAATGGTCTAAATTTTTATGGTGAAACCAGTTTTCTTATGGTTGTTTAAATTTTAGAACAATATGTTGCTATTATAGAAACACATGTTGCTATTGTGGAACTAATATAGCACTATATTTATGTTTTTATGAAATTAAAGTGTTGTATATATATATTTTTTGTTATTTAATTATGTGAATTCGTGGTCCTAAACCGATCCAATCCGTAATAAATGGATTGGTTCGGATTGGTTCCATGATTTAAACGGATTGGATTGGTTCCAATTTTTCAGGAACCGTAGATAACGGATTGGTCCTGCCTCACAGTTTATGATTTGAATGGAATAATTTTGCGTTTTTTATTTGAACTGTGATGATTAGTCGGGTAATGATTTCAGTTTCCGCTTGAAATTTCAGATTTTGGCTTGAAAGGCTTGTGAAGAAAGCAGAAAATAGAGTTTCTGCGATGCATTAGAGTTAATTTTCAAGTGAGATTCTAATTGTGAACATATGAACTTCTAACGCTTCGTTTCCTCACAGTTTATGATTTGAATGGAATAATTTTGCGTTTTTTATTTGAACTGTGATGATTAGTCGGGTAATGATTTCAGTTTCCGCTTGAAATTTCAGATTTTGGCTTGAAAGGCTTGTGAAGAAAGCAGAAAATAGAGTTTCTGCGATGCATTAGAGTTAATTTTCAAGTGAGATTCTAATTGTGAACATATGAACTTCTAACGCTTCGTTTCCTCACAGTTTATGATTTGAATGGAATAATTTTGCGTTTTTTATTTGAACTGTGATGATTAGTCGGGTAATGATTTCAGTTTCCGCTTGAAATTTCAGATTTTGGCTTGAAAGGCTTGTGAAGAAAGCAGAAAATAGAGTTTCTGCGATGCATTAGAGTTAATTTTCAAGTGAGATTCTAATTGTGAACATATGAACTTCTAACGCTTCGTTTCCTCACAGTTTATGATTTGAATGGAATAATTTTGCGTTTTTTATTTGAACTGTGATGATTAGTCGGGTAATGATTTCAGTTTCCGCTTGAAATTTCAGATTTTGGCTTGAAAGGCTTGTGAAGAAAGCAGAAAATAGAGTTTCTGCGATGCATTAGAGTTAATTTTCAAGTGAGATTCTAATTGTGAACATATGAACTTCTAATGCTTCGTTTTCTCACAGTTTATGATTTGAATGGAAACCATACAATGCAAGATAAAGGATTCAAAACCATCTTCTTCTTCTATTTTTTAATTATTTTTTCTTCTTTTCCTTAGTTTTCTCAGCAACCAGAGTTTAGTTAGTGTTTGGAATTGAATTCCACATTTTGCAGTAGCTTGATTCGATCCGTTACTCGCTTTAGAATCAATTGAGTTTGCTTTGAAATCCTTGACTTGGGTTCATTATGTTTCGTGACGATCTTGATGATGAGATAGAAAACCAGAGTGAGAGAATGAGTTAGTTTTGAGACTATTTCTCTTTAGCTTATACACAGATCTTAAAGGTTTGGGTGTTTTGACATCAGCCCTTTCTCCCTCACTCTCTCTATACAGTGTTTTGACATTCTCTCATTGGTCTTGGGTGTTCTTCAATTTGAAGAAAGAGATAGAAAAACAGAGTGAGAGAGTGAGTTATTTCTTTGTAGCTTATACACTGAGATCTTAATGGTTTGGGTGGGCGTTTTGACATCGGCTCTCTCTCCCTCGCTCTCTCTGTACAGTGTTTTGACATCCTCTCATTGGTGTTGGGTGCTTTTCAATTTAAAGAGAAAGATAGAAAAACAGAGTGAGAGAGTGAGTTAGTTTTGAGACTGTATTTCTCTTTACCTTATACACTGAGATCTTAATGGGTTAAATATTATGTAGAAGAGATGAGTCAAGCTTGTGAAAGTAATGCATCCAGATTCCCCTGTGGTGGTGCCATGGATGCCTTCTGCACACAACCACAAAATCAAATATATATGAAATTATTATTTATTTTTTTTATAACTTTTTCAAAAAATATGAAAATAATTTCTCCATTCAAGTAAAGATTAATTTTAATTTTAGGTGTAATAAATGAGAGATTGTTTGAATGGTTTATTATTGTCAAATGATTTCTTAATCTTTCATTCTCTATCAAAAAATTGTAATTTATTGTAAGGCCATTAAATTTTTTATTTTGATTTTTTTAAATCTATATATATAGATTTTTTAATTTTTGTAATTATGTAAGATATATTAACCTGTATTTTTTAAATATGCATCAATTAAAAGTTTAATGACTCGAAAATAAAAATTGAGAATAATATATGATTGAGAAAATATGAAATAATAATGCTTCACTGACTGTATTTTTAAATGTGAACATATCTTTAAAATGTGAATCAAACACCCCATCAGTTAAAAATCTTCAGTGAACTGATAATACTCTTAAAAATAGATGGGATGTTCACTGAAACTACAGATTTACCTCTCCCCATCAAATAGTTTGAATTATTAAAATGTGAACATATAATAATCCTTTGAAGAAAATACAGTCAATGACTGTTCTAGAAATATAATAAATATTTTGAAAATAGAGATAATACAGTAAATCTGTAGTTTATAGCGTATAATGGTTCACTGGCTGTATTACTGATGTGTATTATCAGTGAATATGTATTTGTTTTACTGATGTTTTGTTTTATAGACTATCAGTGAACAACCCATCATTAATTATATGTTCACATTAATGTCCTAGAGATATGCCTAGGACATTAATTATGCTTGTTTTCACTGAACACTCCATCAGTGAACACCCCATCTATTTTTAAGAGTATTATCAGTTCACTGAAGATTTTTAACTGATGGGGTGTTTGATTCACATTTTAATGATATGTTCACATTTAAAAATACAGTCAGTGAACCATTATTATTTTTATATTGAATAAAACTGACTGTACTCTACAATATTAGAGAAACATTCAATATCTTATACATCTATAACATATTGAATGATGATAAACATAATTAAGGATGGGTGAGAAATATTAATTCAGTATTTGAAAATATAATAATTCTATTAAAATGGATATTTCTCTAGATTTATTAGAATTAAAATGTGTATAGTATAATGGTTTTATGGATAGTATATTAACATGGGATAGTATATTAAAATGTGTATAGTATAATGGTTCTAATATCTCTAAAAATAAAATGGATAGTATATTAGTATAATTATTTTTGTTGCACGAGCAAAATAGAACATATTTATCACCTATCCTTATACAAAACATATGTCTTATTATTATTGTTTTATTTCGTTTCAGGTGTCGTCTTTCAATCGCGATCTGAATTCTGCAAAGTTTCAATCAAGCATTTTTGGTTCTGTTGTTCCTGGCAAGCCATCTTCCTTACAGTTGAGTAATCCACTGTTTCCTCTTTGTGCAGTTGAGTAGTGTTTGCTTATATTGTTATGAACACAGAATGATTTGGTCCAAACGATACATAAAATGTATTGCTAGGAGTATGCAGCCTATCAAAGCAACTGCAATGCCTCCTACAGTTGTTCTTCAACCAACATCCCGTACTATTCTTTGTTTCAGTTGTTTATTGACTAAGGCGTCATATTGAATTAAAAAGTTGTTTGATCAAAATGTAAGTACTAAACTAAAAATAAATTGTTTGATATGCATAAGATAAAATTTGAAATTTATTATTTTCAAATTGTTATATATTTTAATCGCTGTGTATGGTTCGTCGCCATTAATCTCTCTGTCGGGCTGTTCTGTATTGCCCTCCTCTCGCTAACTTGAGGCGATTGAATAGCAAACTGATATATTGAACGTTGATACCAAGTTCATAAAAGTAGATCGGGGAACCCTCTTCGATCTTATTCTGGTTTGGTTTTCTCCTCCCTTTTTGATCTCATTGATGATTGAGATTTTATTCTTTTGATTGCCTAATCACCAAGTGATTAGGGTTTATTGATTTTGATTGTATTGTGCATTTTAGTTTTAATGTCTTTTAAATTGCAGAGCACTGGCTGATTTGCATTATTTGATATTTAATGTTTTTTTTATATTTGATTTGTTTGGAATTGTAGAGTACAGTCTGTTAAATATATTTTTATAACTGCATTTCAGTGTGTGTATTAGTGCAAAAGTAAGGTAAAAGCACACTTTTAGGCCAAGAAACACACACAAGGGAGGAGAGAGAGGGAAATATAGAGAGAGGGTGTATCTATATGTATAAGCTCTGGTTTTGCCTTCAAAATTTCTAACCTAGAACAAGGAGAAGACCTCTCCTCTTATAGAAGTCCCTCTTGCCAAGCTTACACAACAAGCTTCCTTAGAGGGAAATCCCTCCATACACGTGTATGGAGGGAAGCAGAGTTGGTGCCAGCT